CTTCCTTCCTTCCTTCCTTCCTTCCTTCCATCCATCCATCCATCCATCCATTCCATTCGTCCCTCCATTCATCCATCCATCCATCTATCCATCCCATTTCCTTCCCTCCATCCATAACATCGTCTGGTATACCTTAGCTGATATTGTTGAAATAGTCACATCCTTCTCCCGCAGTTGTTTCTTCAGTTTCTCAATTTCTATCTTCGCCTGTTGTACAAGTGAGTCTTTAGCAGAATTATCCCGCTGGAGAGAGTTTAACAACGTTGACGTCTGCGTCTTCTGTTTGTTTGCCTTGTCCAAGTCATGGGTTAGCTGTGCTATCTTGCGGTCTTTCTCAGCGAGCTGTGTTTTTAGTGAAGCCAAGGTGTTTGTTGTTCCGTTGGGGTCTTGTTTAACTTTGATAATTGGGGTTGATTTCTGGAGTAAAATGAAAAGAAAACGAAGAGTAAAACTAGAGTATATTGATGTCAATGCAATGAATAAATGAAAAGGAAATAATAACTTTTTTCCATTTCTTTTTCTTTTCTCCGATGCGACCAATGTTGGAAGGGATTTTAAAAAACCATTCAATCTAAACAGACCACGCGATTTAATGAAACCCACGAACAACCTCCGGACTGATTTGTGAAATTCATAGAAGGGATGTGAACAGGAGGGGACACTTAAGCCCCCCCCCCCCCCCCCCCCTCACGCGGGGGGGGAACTAAGTGTTTTCTTTGTTCATTAGCCAAAAAAATAAATATATTTTTATAAGAGTAGCTGCACCCCCCCCCCCCCCCCCCCCCCCAACTTCATGGGCGGATCCAGGGGTTGACTATTACAAAGATTTTACCAGGATTTAGAGAAAAAGGGTGGGTGACTGTTACTAACAATATACTAAGAAATTTGAACAAAAGTGGGGTGGCTACTCACCCCTTTTATTGCCCATGGGTCTGCCCCTGCACTAACCTTCTCCACAGGCTACCCCATGTGTTCTCCGTTAGGAGCTCTTTGTCCCCCTCCCCCTCCCTTGACTTTTTTGTCCTCACCACAGTAATCCCAAGGAGCAAAAAGAGCCAAGGAGATTCCTCCAGAGGAGGCTACTCCTGCACTTCTTAGCCCCAATTTTAAAGTTTCCGAGGTTCCCCCGGATTACTAAGATCAAACCCTACCCCCCCCCCCCAAATCAAAACTATTTCCACTGTCCCTTGGAAGACCTTGGAAGATTACAGCATTTTATTTGAAAACAAAAGCACTAGTTACCTGAGAGTCCAGTTGCTGTTTCAATGTATTAAGTTCTTCATTTTTAATGTGCAGTTGTTCTTGATAGCTCGTTAGTTTCTGTGTTACTGTTCTGTGAGCTTCTTCTTTCTCCTTGAGCAGTGCTTGAAGATGGGAGTTCTGTTGTCTTAGTTCACCAACGATTCCAATGCTAGAGAAAGCAGATTCCTCTCCGCCACCCCTATCAATGAAAAAACGTCAAAAATAATTATATCAATGATAATATTTTTAACTAATATAAAAATATTTTCTTGTACCAAATATAACAGTTATAAAAAAAATAATTTTCACACGCAAATAGCCCCTTTTTCTTTTTCTTCTTCTTCTTTCGCACTAATTGGGGACACTTTTCGCTTACACGCACTATCACAACATTCAATATTCTATGCACACAACATTCAGCTCATATGTTGATTTTTACGGAGGGAGGAAGCCGGAGAACCTGGAGAAAACCCTCGTAGCATAGGAGAGAACAACACATCAAATAAACTCAATTCATAAGTGGCGACCGTAGGGCTTGAACCAGCGACCCGAGCCGTTGGACTCACAGCGGTGAAAGATGACGCATTAGGCACGAACGCCACCCATACCACCCAAACCACTACAAGTGGTGACTTACCTAAATCCATAATTGTTGGTGGAAAGTTTAGACTTCAAATCAGCTACTTCATCTCTGAGTGAATTGATGACTCCGTCTTTACGATGACACTCTGTCTCATAAGACGCAAGTCTACTCAACTCGTCACCCATCCGAAGAAGCCTCTCTTCCTAATTTTATATGAAAACAACAAAATAAAATAAATTATTATTAATATCTGACCTCACTATTTCATCATTTTTTAATTTTTATTATTATTACTTTATTTCAATGGGATTCCCATTGTTTGGGCTTCCTGTGTTAACTCTCTAGTAAGCGACCATCTCCCATAAGCAACCACTTTACAGTGGCCCYGGGGTGGTCGCTTATGGGAGAGTCAACTGTATTTCCTTCTGGTCTGAAATGGAAAAACACTAACTCCAGGGGCAGATCCAGGATTTTTAAAAGGGGGTTGACAATTAAAGGATACCCGTCCTTGCGCCATTACCACAGGAAACCCATAAAATGGTGGGAAAATGGAATCTTAAATTGACAGAAATTAAATTTGAAAGCTTTAAGTAAACTGAGTGAAAGCTTTTCCAGTGTATTAGGATAGGTACGTTATTTATTGAAGAGAAGGGCCCCGGGGCTTCAGAGGGGAGGGGAGGGTCATCAGTAAATAATTTGTGCAAAAGGGGGGAGGAGGGGGTTGGGGTGACTAGTCAATCCCCTCACCACCCCTGGTTCCAAGGTAAAGAGGTCTATTCTGGGCCAACACATTATTTTATGTCATATAACTCACCAATTCCTCTGCAGTTTTTTGTCCAGCTTGGTTTGGTGATGCTCCCACATTTTCTACCCACCCACCTGTTGAGAAAGACAATGTCAATCAAAGTTATTCAAATATTAACCTTCTCGCAATCATAAAGAGAAATTTATTACCTTTTAGTTCCGTGGATTTTAAAAGTATTTATCAAACTCATTAATAATTCATGAGGAAAACACAACAGAAATCAYGACCGTGAAGAGTGTTGTAAATCTGATACAAAACTGTGTTCATTTGCATAAACTTTAAGTTGGATTTTCTTGCCCAAATTCACTTTTAGTGAAGCACAAAGGAACTAACCTAGACGTTTGATAAGTCATATACAGTATTCGTGTCCGTGATGTATCAGATATACAATCACTCGGCTATGCCYCGTGGTTGTATATCTGATACAACAGGGCCACTCATACTGTGTATATATTACATATAAATGATTTAGTCAAAAAAATGGATGTATGTGAGTATATCTCCCAATGAAACACGCGCAATAGAAATATCAAATAAATTGCAAAAGTGACTTGTAGAATATGATTTTATGACATTTTTAATCACAAAATTAAAGTGTTGTGGAATATGCGACCTCCAAAATCATAAAATTAACATGCCGAGAAAATTTTATGTAATAACATTAATAACCAGTGTACCTCTGGACATCATGGGTGTACGCTCTCTACCAGCAGAGAGTGGTCTTGGTTTGGTGACTCCAGCGCTAGCCGGACGGGACCTTAAAGGAGGGTGTGGCATTACCCCTCCACCCTAATAAATTAATGAAATCCATTAATATTTCTTATCAGGAAAAAAACTTGATAAAAAATATCTCTGTATGCATCTGTTTGTTCGGTATTGGGTTAGGAGGGTGAGGGGGTAGGAGGGAGGGGGRGAGGCAAGGGAGTGATATGGTTTGATAGAGCCCCAATATCTACCATCCACTGTTAGATAAACACCAACACCCTAAAATATCATCTGGGCTGATCAAAGTCAGGGCACAGCTAACTTTACAGATCAAATCTCAAAACAACTCCAGGGCTGATCAAAGTCAGGGCCTGCCTAATGCACAGATTGAAAATGGAATTTAGTTTGGTTTTGCATGGAAAGGAAAACTGGAGATCACTGAGAAAAAACTCTTGAATCAAGGGAGAGATCTATCAACCTCTTCTCATATGTGAACGCAAGTCACAGACTCAAGGAATCTGTTGAAGCCTGTGACTCATACATGTGGTGAGAGACATGAGGGCACGACAGCTTTAAGTACAGAGTGTAAGTACAGCTAGACCACCCCTAAAAATTTCCCGATTCAATTCACTCACCCAAGAATCAACCCCAGATCTCATTTCACTTGCAATTCCAGCACTTGGTAGATTAACTGACTGCGGACCTTGGAATACAGGCATGCCATCTACTATAGATGACAAGGCAGTAGAAATGTATGGTAGAGATGTGGAGTTGTATTGTGAAGAAGGTGGAATTGTATTCATCCATGGTCTGCCTGATGTGAGGGAGGAGTATTGAATGGGTGGTACTTGATCAATAGCTAATTCATATCCAGGATTGCCTGAAATATTTGTTAAGGAGCTATTTTACAATAACTTACAAATTTCTTGTGTGCTGATTGGTTATTTTTTATTATTAATAAGTATGACATCTAGGCTAACCATGAGTAACGGAGAACATGAAACTGAAGTATTTCGATATAACTGGTACATATCGAACTAATAATAAATAATATTATCAAATTCATTAATAATTCATGAGGAAAACACAACAGAAATCACGACTGTGAAGAGTGTTGTAAATCTGATACAAAACTGTGTTCATTTGCATAAACTTTAAGTTGGATTTTCTTGGCCAGATTCACTTTAATTTTGAAAATTTTAGTGAAACACAAAGGAACTAACCTAGACGTTTGTTAAGCAATATACAGTATTCATGTCCGTGTTGTATCCGATTTATATCTGATACACCACGRCAACTCATACTGTATATATTATATAAATAATAATAATAAATAATAATAAATACTAATAACTAGTACAAGGATACCAAACCCAAATCTGATGATATCTCCTGGCGCTAGTCTCACAGCAGAGTTCTGCACCCTGTGTTCATTGACGTAAGTGCCATTAGCAGAGTTCAAATCTTGTAGAATAAAACATCCCTCACACTCGTCAAACTCAACTACGGCATGTTGTTTCTCAATACTTGAAAACTGAAATATGAAAGCAATGAAAGTGAATTATATATAGTGGTCAAACTCACCCTAGTATCATCGAAAGCACATGGATTAGTAGAAAATAGGTAGAAGCATCAGAAGAGGAATAAAACACATTTTCAGCCAATCTCCAAGTGATTTATATTACTGCATGATCATGGCATTTAAGCAGTCAAGGATATTTATTCCTTTTATAACTTCTAAATTTATTGCTACGCACTGATAGAGACAATTGTTGGGATGATTTGGGAAATCACAGGCAGTTGCCGCTGCCATAAATCAGAGTATATAAAGGTAACAAAAAATTAATTTCATTGACAAAAGTCTGTTGCCCGATTTTCTTGTTTTGAAGTCCAGTGTATTTTGGACCAGCACACATAGTGCTCAAAGAAGACAGTCATAAAAATATAAATTAAAATTGTCATTTGTTTTGTATATGAATGATGAAATAGAAATATTGTGTTCATGCTACATATGACTCTGGGTTCATATTAATGGCCAATCAACAGGCAGTGTCTGTATAGCCAAATGCCAATAGCCCACTTCTGAGATATGCTTCACTTGTCATGCACAAAAGTTTCAGTATGAGGCTGTGTGCTAAATGCTCAGTCTTTCGTGACAGGCGGTAAGATTAAATTAAATTTAGCCTGTGGCCTCATACTGAAACCTTTGTGCGTGACAATCGAAGCATATCTCGGAGGTGGGCTATTATGCCAGCGCTCTTGACCGATCACATTGAATTGTCACTCGTTGATCATCAGTACATCCAATATGGCAAGTTATCATGTCCAGCCTTAAACCAGTCATTACCCAGCCATTAATTTAACCCTGGAAGCAGGATACTAAGAAATCAATAATTATAGGAGTTATTTTATAAAAGACAATTGCAGCTGTTARCATTATTTTGTTATAACTGAAATTATGTCCATGATCAATAATCCAACAACAGCAACACAGAGCATCAAAAATGCAATTAAACAGGGTTCTAATGAAGTTATACTCCCAGTATTTATATCCTTTTTGTACAATGCTTAGCAGGACACAGCAAACACTCACTACAACAAAGGAATCTCCATGTAAACAATGCAAAGTGACAGAAGTTACTTGGTTTAGAAGATGATCCTAAACATTGTATTATTGTTAAGAACACACAAAAGTGAATAAATATATTATCTAATTTTTCATCTATGTAGATGAAGTGCTATTCTTTTTATGATAGTTAGAGTAAATTTTAAGAAATTCTACGTTGTTTGGTCATCCCTAAACAAGAAAGATTCAAGAGAGCTTTAAAATATGTTTGAGAAAAGTTACTGCCAAGCTCCAATTTCGCGAGAAAAGAGCTTTGAAAATACAAAATTCAGAGCCTAGCGTTAACAGAGATATCCCTAGACTATAAAATATCCATTACATATTATTTATTTTTAAAGATTGTAGAGTTTTTGTACTCACTGGTAGAGTAATATCGCTGCCTTCACGACCAATAGTAGTCACAGCATTCCTCAATTGATAGACTGAACTCCCATCTTTCGACCTCAAACAACCCTTCATCTCGTCTCCAAAGGACTAAAATGATTCTCTCGTATCAAAATGATGCTATTAAAGCCTAGAATAACGTTCTAATTGATAATCTTTAGACATTATTAAGAGTCTGTTGTCTTAAAAATGGCGGATAAACTAGATGGATTAAATATTCGTATTTGGTTATATCGCTATGGTAACGGCTCAGTTCTCAGTCGGTTGTGTTAATATTTATGAGGTTAAGAATCCTTAAGGGAGGGGAGGGTCCTCGATAGCTTTTCATAATAAGTTTTAAAAAAAATTAATGACTATTAGAAAAATAAGGGATGGATGTATGAATTATTAGTTTATTTTTTTAAGCTTTATAAATGGAGATTGTTATGTCAATCCGTACAGTTTGATTTACCCCTCCATCTTATAAAAGGGCAAAAAAAGTTGCCCTCTCCCCCCCCCCC